GCCCTGTCGTGCCAAGGGGCATGGGGCGGCAGGGGGTGCAGAGGCCACGGGGGACCATGATCTGCTCCGTCCTCCTCCTCTTCCTCCGCATCGCGCTGGCCCAGGCCTTGCTGCTCCCCCTTCTCCCAGCCGCAGCTCCCAGGCCCTTCCCAAGGGACAGGGAAGGGAGCCCCACATCCCCGGGGCGGCTCGCCGGGCTCCGTGGCTGCGGGACGTGTTTTGCTCCTCAGACAGTCATCCCAGTGCCTTTTCCCCTCGGAAAGAAAAACAGGCTGCAGCAAGTCAGTCATCCGCTGGCCCGGGCAGGCTGGCGGACGGGTGCTGGTGACCGTATTGTTCCTGTGGAGCTTGGCTTGCGCACAGGGTGTTCCCCATCCTGTGCGAAGAGCGCTGCCCTTGCGCGAGTTTATCTGGGTTTAAAGCCTTCTCCTTTCCTCCTTGCCCTGGCCGCAGGTCTCCTTGAGCATGGGCGGAACTGGTCAGCCATTGCCAGGATGGTGGGCTCCAAGACCGTGTCGCAGTGCAAAAACTTCTACTTCAACTACAAGAAGAGACAGAACCTGGACGAGATCCTACAGCAGCACAAGCTAAAAATGGTAAGAATCCTATCTCAGCCCACACCGGGCACCACAGAGATTTCCCGGCAAACGCTCGCGTTGTTCCCGTGCCGAGGGGGAGAGCTTTCATCCTGGAGAACATGCTGGGCTGCGAGCAGCGGGCACGGGCAGCTCGAGCTGTGCAGGAAGGGGCCGTGTGCCTGTTTGGTCTTAAGAGGTCTGGGGAGGAGGAGGGACGATGCTGGGCGCGAGTTCCCCGTCTGCGGGAGCACGGCGGATGGTGGGGAGATAAAAGGGAGCAGAAAGGAGTGCCGGGTTGTTGTGTCGTAGCCAGAACGTGAGCTCAGTCCCAGCTGTGTAAATCCCTTGAAGCTGGTGAAGTTGGGTCACCTCACATGGGGAGGGACAAATAGAATCGGGGCCGAGAATTCACCACGTTTCTACTGAAATCTGCGGGTGCCAGAGCCCCCCGGCAGCGCTGACACCCGAACTGACGGCGAGGGCTGCCCATTTATCCCCCGAAATGCAGGGTTTCTTGCACGGTGTCAGGACAGGGAAAGCGAAGGGGGGCTTAGCGCAAAATGTTAATGCTGAGAAGATTGGGCGGCTAATCCCGACACGGCTGTCGCTTCCCTTTGTGCCTGCAAGCAAGCGCGCTCATCCCCGCGTGCCTCGGTTTCCCTGTCAGAACGGGCTGATACTGCTGCTTTTCTTGCTCTAAGGTGCAGGGTGTGGATAATGTGGGGCTTGTTCAGCCTTCTGGAGATAAGGCGGACTGCTACGGAGCAAATAAGGATTATAATTATTTCATTTGTAGAGTATCCTGGGGTTCCCAGTTTCTGGCTAATAGAATTCACATGGCTAAACCCCCAAGGGGTGCTTTGAAAATGCAAAGGACAATGTTCAATGCAGGAATCTCTCCAAGCAAGCTATTACAGCAAGAGTAAAAAGAAAGACAGGAAAACATTCAATGACTCACCCAGGAATTTAATATCCTAGTCAGTCTATAGGAATGAGAAAGAGAGAAGACATTGGCGATGCTTTTTTTTATTAATTCTCTATGCACAGAGACACTCCTGTGTTCCCATGTTTCACTGAATTGTTTTTAGAAACAAAGCAAACAAACTATACAAAGGAGCAAAAAAACCAAACCTATATAAAGACTGGAATGAGATGTGCATAAAGCCCTGTGAATATAAAATGTTATAAAGATATCGTTGTTCATTACTGGGGAGAATCTGAAATAAGATCATACGGCTTAGCTGGCAATGGCATTGGTGTATATTAATTTACTCTGCTTCCTAATGTTTCAGAAATTATATCACTGAAGCGTTTTTCTGCAGAACCACATTTTTCCCTGTATCCATCCCTCCAAGGCAGCCACTAGACTTCTCCCGTCTAATTGCTCACTCTCACTTGCAGTTTATATCAGCATCATCATTTTAGTTTTTGAGCACGGGAGGCTATGGGATTTGGTTTTGTAGAAGAACAATGAATGTTCAGCTGTTATTTATTGTGCTCTATTGTTTTGTGGCAACAGCAGATGCCAGAAAGCTGAATAAAATAAAAGAACAACTGAGATTAAATTGCCATAGACCTTCCTTCCTGACTCCTAAATATATTCCCGAGCAAACCAGGCCTCCTAATCTCTTCCTATACCCAGCAGTGAGCCTTGACCTCTGCAGAGTCAGCACGCGGCAAGCCAGTGTGTCAGCAGGTAGCTTTGCCATGAAATTCCCAATATATTCCCTGACCTCGCCACCACCAGCTAGTGCTGATAGTGCACAAGGAAACAAATTGCCTCTGCTTTTCCTCCTCTTGCTTGAGGAGAGTCAACTTAATTTGCAGATCTCATTAGCTTCCCAAATGTGGCTCGTTAATATTTTGTTGCCTCCTCCTCCAGACAGGTTGTGACACAGGTTTGAAGGGCTCCCTCCCCAAGCCAGGTTTCTCCCAGGCTGGGTTTTAGCAGCGCATGGATGACATGGAGAAGCTGCCGGGATCGATCCATGTTGATAGCCAGCCTAGGATGGGATGCAGAGCCTGGCAATGTCCCTCATGCCCCAGAATGTGGCAGAGCAGCGTGAAGCATCCGCAGTTGGCCTGGCCAGAGCCCGAGGAGCTCGGGGGACAGCGGCACCTGCGCTGTCCCCGAGCATCCCTGCCCTGGCAAGAGCAGGTTCCTCGTCCCGCTGGGCCGGGGTGCCTGCGGGCGAGCGGCCCCGCGGAGCCCGTGACTCGCGTGCGGGAGCCTGGCAGCGCCGAGGCTGCGTTTATCTGCCCTGCAGTGTGTTTTGGCTTAGCTTGGCTGTTGAGCAGCTCGGATGTGTCCCAGGCATCAGCGTCACTCAGCCCTGACCTTCTGCATGCTGCGCTCCGTAATCTCGGCATTTAGGGAGAGGGGGCATTCCGATACACAGCGTCCTCCGGAGCTGCTCTCTTCTCAGCAGCTGCAGATTAGATGCGGTCTTCGCCGCAGACTCTCTGCTGGGCCCTGGTCGCTTTGGTCTAGTGAGCGCTTGGGCTTCCTTCGGCTCCCGAGCTGAGATGGATGTTGAATGGAGCCGGTGGAGCGGTGCGAGGCGCAGGAGGCCTGCGGAGCCCCGGCCAAGCCGCATGGCTCTGATTCCCTGCTTGTTGGGCGCTGCTGGATTCGGCATTCAGCTTGCGGAGCTCGTCCGGAAGGAGGGCCTGGTGGTCTCCTCTTCTGGAGATGAATGGTCTTCCCTGCATTTGTGCAGCAGCCTCGGGCTGGAGGCCGAGACCAAGGCTTTTCTTGTCCCGCTGGGCAGAGTCCCAGGGCCGCATCTCTCCTGGCTTTTCCCGTTTAGAAGCGAGGCAGCCGGGGGTGCCCCGTGTGCCCCCGTGAGGCCTGCGAAGC